CCTCCCGTCTTCTTAACAAGCTCAGCAACCGTAGCGCTGGATTCCGGACTCTCCTCCCCATCCTGTTGTATGGCAAAACACATGGCTTTTTGATCATGGCTTTCGTTGTTATATTCTTCCTCTTCACACGTCATCCTCCAGCTTTCAATCTTCTTAGCCAAATCATTTCCAATTAAACATCTGTATGGTATGTCAGGACTGACTGCAAAATCCCACATACCCTTCCATCCTCCATATTCTATTGGCAAAGTCACTACTGCTGTTGGTATCGCAGGTCCTAAACCTTTTAATCTTATTTCAGAGGTAGGCCGCTGAAATTCCTGAGGTATTATTTCTGGATGCACTATACATACTTCAGAGCCTGTATCTCGAAGTCCTTTCATGTCTTTGTTGTTAATAGAAATGGTTTCTAAGTAATCTTTAGATGGGCTGCCTGACAAGATGAACAAACATTGTTTCTCTTGAGGCTCTGAATCTGAACTCTTCTTTGACACAGTATCTGGTTCTAGCCAGAGTGAACCAGAGGATTCTGGGATCGTTGGTTCCCAAGGCAAAGATGCTTCGATGCTAACAGAAAAAGGGGCCGAGGAAAAGGTTGAACGGCCAAGGCCAGATAGTGATAGTGAAAGGAATGTACTAATTGGCAAGCTGAGGGACGACCAGACACTCTTAATAATAATAACAACAACAACAACAACACTTTATTAGTACCCTGATACCATCTCCCCAAGGGACTCGGTGCGGCTTACATGAGGCCAAGCCCAAACACAACAATGCAGGCAATAATACAACAATACAAGCAATTAAAATAAAACATAAACGATAAACATATAACATTATCAATAAGACAACATACAATTAAAAATTGTGGGAAGGCCAAATGTAAAAATTAAAATTGGAAAAGTGCTGAGGCATGGACGAAAAGGCGATAGTGGCGTTTGTGGAAGACATACGAGCAGACCTAAAAGTATAAAGTGCTTTGGAGGGACAAAGTGCTATGGGATCATTATTCCGGGAAGGCACACTCGCACAACCACATCTTCAAGCTCCTCCTGAAGACCCCAGGGTTGAGGCCTGCCTGATGTCCTTAGGGAGTGAGTTCCAGAGTTGAGGGGCCACTACCGAAAAGGCCCTCTCTCTCATCCCCACCAATCGTGCCTGCGATGCTGGTGGGATCGAGAGCAGGGCCTCTCCAGATGAACGAAGAGATCGTGTGGGTTCGTATACAGAGATGCGGTCACACAGGTAGGCGGGTCCCAAACCGTTCAGGGCTTTGTAGGTAAGAACCTGCACCTTGAATTGGGTCTGGTAGATGAATGGCAGTCAGTGGAGCTCCTTGAACAGGAGGGATGACCTCTCCCTGTAAGGAGCACAAGTTAACAACCTGGCTGCCGCTCATCTAAAATTTCTGGGCCGTTTTCAAGGGCAGCCCCACGTAGAGTGCATTGCAGTAGTCCAGTCTTTGATAGGAGAAGTCAAATCAATCATCATCATACCTGGAAGGGGGCAGAAGACGGTCTGAAAGATTAAGAGAATCAGGGGGTCAGGGAGAGGTTTCCCAAGGGAAAGGGAATGCTTTTGCCATGGCTTTCTGAATAAATATAGGGCCTGTGAGTCTATACTCTTCAGTAAGTCCAACATTTGGTTTTCATGCCTGCTTCATGCTTGCTTGTTCATGCGGGGAATCATGTATAATCTTGCTTTGTATTCATGCACATGCTGAGATTTTTGTAAGCTGGTGTTTGTGATTTCAAGCTACTGCATTTAGATTATTTGATTCAAGTTGGCTCCTGTTTCTTCAAGGGACTTTTGCATTTGCCACCTTTGGAAAAGAAAGACTTTCTTCCTATGGATTTGCTTCTTGGATTTTGGGACTGATTTGTCTCCTAACTTGGATTTGGGTTATTTGCTGATTTTGTGGACATCACCTTTTCTCTATTTGAATGCTTTTTACCTTTTTGACTATTGCTATAT